ATTACCAGGCCTATACTGTTACACAGATCCAGACTGTCATACAGACACATTGCCAGGGCTAGACTGTCATACACACACATTGCCAGATCTAGACTGTCACACAGACACCTAGACTGCCAGATCTAGACTGTCATACAGACACATTGCCAGATCTAGACTGTCATACAGACACATTGCCAGATCTAGACTGTCATACAGACACATTGCCAGATCTAGACTGTCACACAGACACATTGCCAGATCTAGACTGTCATACAGACACATTGCCAGATCTAGACTGTCATACAGACACATTGCCAGATCTAGACTGTCATACAGACACATTGCCAGGTCCAGACTGTTACACAGACACCCTGCCAGGGCTAGAGCGTCATACACACACATTGCCAGGGCTAGACTGTCACACAGACACATTGCCAGGCCTAGACTGTCACACAGACACCCTGCCAGGGCTAGACTGTCACACAGACACATTGCCAGGGCTAGACTGTTACACAGACACCCTGCCAGGGCTAGACGTCACACAGACACACTTGCCAGGGCTAGACTGTCACACAGACACATTGCCAGGGCTAGACTGTCACACAGACACCCTGCCAGGGCTAGAGCTGTCACACAGACACATTGCCAGGGCTATACTGTCACACAGACACATTGCCAGGGCTAGACTGTCACACAGACACATTACCAGGCCTAGACTGTCACACAGACACCCTGCCAGGGCTAGAGTGTCACACAGACACATTGCCAGGGTTAGAGTGTCACACAGACGGGACGATTGGCTTCCCCACCATCTAGAGACAGGACAAGCTCATGGTTATAACATGACGCGGTGGTGGAGTGTCCTACTCAACAGTGTACATAGTGTGTGACTCGACATAACCCCAGCTACTTACACGGAGACAAACACAACTACTAACCCGACACTAACTACATCATAAGGTGGCATGCACGGGCGCTCAGTTGGCTTTCACGGAGGTCCATCCACGGAACGGCGTTTGTCCTCGCCCGCTGACGTACACGTTGCTCGTCTCAATGATGTCGAGGCGGCACGCAAGGACTGAGCAGGGAACGGATTGGTAGCCATACAATTCATCCGTGTAGTGAGTGAGTTGAGTTTCATGCTGTCATGGAAAGTGTCATAGTTTTATGACGATGTGTCATCTTGTGGCAGGTGATGTTCAAAACAAATCAAGTCACTCACGTGTACGACCTTCATTAAACGTAGTATGAAGCCCACACAAATGGAAGGTCAAAGAAGGAAATGGAACCTGCTACAGTTACCACGGAACGCCTCTGTGCGAATCGAATAAGCCTTTTCCGGAGCTGTAGTACTGTAACTGACTAGCGTAAACGACGCTGTTACTCACTCACTCAGTTTCCATGTTTTTCCCGTGAAAACCAGACTTACTCATCACGAATCAATTCCACAACCTGTCGCTCTACTAAGTAATATCGCTTCAAACATCTACCTCATACGATTTGAAAGCCGCTTATTCTACGAGAACCTTTCTCTTTTGATCCTATTTTCCCGAAATGATATGAGTTACGCTGTGTAACATTCAGGGATTAACTATATATTGCTATATTGCTAGGTTAATGAACACCCGATACTTCACTCTGTCGTGGCTGGTGGGTACTGCAGCACATGGCTTTACAGCTGTAAGTGTCCCCCAACTTGTTTGGAGTGGTATATCGCCACCACTCGGGTTCTTCTTCCACTGCAGTCGCATCTCTCATCAGATGAACAGCACGGCGACCACTCATGTAGTAAAATATTTTATTACCTGAAATAAAATGTGAACATTGTCCCCGTGGGCCTAGTCAGGGACATTGGCTGTAGAATACACATTAACTGGACAATACCTGGAATCACGTGACTGGTCAGATGACAGTCACTGGTAGTCATCAGAATGTATCATACGAGAACAGTGAACAATCTCCAAGGTTTAAATGACAGTTTGTCGGAAGGGAGGTTTTGTCATCCAACGAATGTAATTTTGCCACCATATAAATGTGTAATAACTGAAACAATCGTCATTGTAAGACACAAGTCTTTCACTGTATGTACGAGGGACTCTAAACGATCGCGCCATCGAGGTAGCCCGTTGTCAATGCACTGTGTAACACTTCACAGGATTGCAATGTTTGAAAGGAATTTATCCATCCATTCTTCGAAGGGTAATGTCTATTAAATGTTTCAAACACAGAGCTGCCATTTCAGCCGATAACTAAGGCTTCAAATAGTTTATCGTGCAGCTCACCCCTTTAAACACCCTTTTCAACTGCTTGCCACACCGACACCCGTTTCTTATTGAAGGCAATCCATTCAGAGAGCTGTGATCTGTCAAGTATGTACAGCTCGAAAGAGATGCCTCAACTCTCTTTTAAATAAGGATTAAAGGGTTTCTTATGAAAGGAAACCACTTGATGAGATTGTGATATATATGCACACAATATTATAGGTTGGACAACAAAGTCATTTTGAACTTTTTGTGGCATATATTACATTTTTTATGTAAAAATTCCACAACGCCAAGGCTCCTGTGGTTAGTAGTCATGGAAATACTGAAATAGTGAGTGCGTGAGTGCGTGAGTGAGTGCGTGAGTGCGTGAGTGAGTGAGTGAGTGAGTGAGTGAGTGAGTCACATGGAGTGTTGTCGGTATAAGATGTTTGTCACTTCGGTGAAACCCCGGAGTATAGTATGGGGCTGATAAATCTAAAAATAACAATCGATGCAAATCTGGGATTCGAACCCCTGATCATATGTCATGTAAGCAACTCGACACTTTTGACCATTTGGCCATCATATGTGGTCAGCGTGAGATCCCAACTCTGTTCCTGCTTCCGTGACGTCACTGTTCCAGTATTCCTCCGGGACATTCAATAAGCACTGTTGTACCTGCTTGGTTCTAGCGGTATCTCTTGACAGAATGACTGGGCTTTGGGGTACTATAGTGTTCGTGGCGTCAGCCGGGCTCTCATGGGGACATCACATGTTGGTCCTTGAGACATCCACGATGCACACCAGTAACAATGTTCTATGCATCTAAAGTGATAGTGGGGGCGTCAGGTGATAGTGGGGGCGTCAGGTGGTAGTGGGGGTGGTAGTGGGGGCGTCAGGTGGTAGTGGGGGCGTCAGGTGATAGTGGGGGCGTCAAGTGATAGTTGGGGCGTCAGGTGGTAGTGGGGGCGTCAGGTGATAGTGGGGGCGTCAGGTGATAGTGGGGGCGTCAGGTGGTAGTGGGGCGTCAGGTGATAGTGATAGTGGGGGCGTCGGGTGGTAGTGGGGGCGTCGGGTGGTAGTGGGGGCGTCAGGTGGTAGTGGGGGCGTCAGGTGATAGTTGGGGCGTCAGGTGATAGTGGGGGCGTCAGGTGATAGTGGGGCGTCAGGTGGTAGTGGGGGCGTCAGGTGATAGTGGGGGGCGTCAGGTGGTAGTGGGGGCGTCAGGTGATAGTGGGGGGCGTCAGGTGGTAGTGGGGGCGTCAGGTGATAGTGGGAGCGTCAGGTGGTAGTGGGGGCGTCAGGTGGTAGTTACGACGTCAGGTGGTAGTTACGACGTCAGGTTGTGGTGACGTCAGGGGATAGTGGTGGCGTCAGGGGATCGTGGTGGCGTCAGGTGACAGTGACGACGTCAGGTGATAGAGGAGACACCAGGTGGTAGTGGAGACGTCAGGTGATAGAGGAGACATCAGGTGATAGATTGATAGAGGAGTTTGTCACACCTTTGTGTGAATGTGTGTGCACAGATGTGAGTGTGTTATTAATTACATCTTTGTGTGGATGTGTGTGCACAGATGTGAGTGTGTTATTAATTACATCTTTGTGTGGATGTGTGTGCACAGATGTGAGTGTGTTAAATTAATTACATCTTTGTGTGGATGTGTGTGCACAGATGTGAGTGTGTTATTAATTACATCTTTGTGTGGATGTGTGTGGAATAGTGCTGGTGTGTTATTAATCACACCTTAGTGTGAATGTGTACACATACGGGAATGTGTTATCAATTATATCTTCGTTAGGGATTTGACACTGGGTAGTATTTCAGCTAAATATACTCATGGAAACAAATAAAGGAACACACGAAAGCGCAAGTGTCCCTATACTCTTTTCCGGGTTTCTTGCCATGCTTTATATTGCACTGTGGGTGCAAATCTGGAAATAAATAAAGGAACACTTGTACTTTCATGTTTTCCCTTGTTCGTTTCCATGAGTTTATTTCCTCATTGCAAAATCAAACCTTTCTTGAAATCGAAACTAAACTATCTACTTGAAGCAAAGAAAAAAGACATCTTGCAAGTGTGTATTGTTGTGACAGACAACTTAGTTTTAAACGGTTGGAAGCATTAGTATTTTGTCTCAGTCGGCGCCAGTTTATTTGTTTTCATCAAAACCCAGCCCCATTATCAGCCATTCATGAAGTGAATTATTTTACTTTATTGGCTGTTCGGCAATGTTGCAACCAAATAACTCTAGTGATCTTGATGCTTAACATAACATTATGATCAGACACGATGTTTTATTGATGAAGGTGACACCTTTCTTGTTAGGATTTCCCTTGGAGATCTGTATCATGTAGGAAAGAAATTCAAGAAAACACATCCATTCCAAGCACATATTATTTCACAGGTAATCAGTTTCATGGGCGTTTGTTTGTATCTTGTATCAATGAAAATCTTTAAACTGGAATCTTTATAGTACTGATGACGTGGTAAATATTTCAGTATACACCCACGTCCATTACTGCAGTCTGAGTTTAAACTCATTCATTTGTCGAAGTATGCGATGTTTATTCATGATATTAAAATATGTCATCACAAAACAGACAGGACGTACAGTTAGTACCAGTGTTATATGTATGTACAGATCAACCTAGCTATGGGCGCTTCGTCAACTCCGCTACCTGGCTGACTTAATTGAAGCTTTTGAACCGAAACATTCTCCCACTGCGAACACTTTCCGAACAGATGCATCTAAACCATGAATATGGCCTATCGAGTACTGGTCAACCATCTATATCGATAGGCAACTACACGTTCTAATTTATATTTTAATGGACTTGATTGATTTTAAAGTGAGCATGCATGTGCACGCGACCCTAGCTCGTTCACCTCCCAATACCTGAACGGCGGCAAGATCAAAGGACCGGGCGCGTTGGCCAGGTAAAACTGAGGTAGAGTCTTAAAGCGACTGTACGAGGAGCAAGCGAGCGGAGGGGAGGAGATCACCAATCTGGTCGAGGTAAGCGCAATTAATCTGTCACATATCGCCAAGTTTAGCTTTCAGCCTAGCGATGTTATAATTCAGATATAGCCCTGCCACATGACAAAGGCCTTCAGTATTTGTACATTTCTACAATTTGCCTCGTTATCTATGCGAATGCTTTGTTCTAGGGGCAATTCCGTTGTTATCCAATGTACATGATAAATACAACAGTTATCTGTTGACTGCGACGTGGGGTGGGAACCTATTTAGTACACAAGCTCGGGGGTTTAATGTATGGAGAGAGAGTTAGCTATGTCATCTACACATCATATAAGTTGAAGTCAATCGCGCCTGAAGAGCCCTCGTCCATCACAATGCTTAAAACAGTTTCATAACAGCTGCATAGCCAGGTTCGTTAGCAGCATATTTACGGTAAAAGGTGAGAACTCTTACTAATTTAATCTCAGTAAAGGTGGATATTGTACTATCAATTTAATAATTATATTCGAATACATTTTTTACCATTATGTACCAATTACGTGTCTTTTGTATGTTTAGTATGTAGAGTATCTTAAGAAATATATTGGATACAGTTTTACAGTTTTAAATATTCTGCCTCGGGTATGTTAATATCATTTTTAGCGGGTAGAGTTGGTTCTTGTACACAATGCCACCGTAGCGGCCACCCCGCGGGTCTGTGGTATTGGTGGTGGTGGGTGGTATTGTTGTGTAACAACCTACAGATTTAATGTAGCTTACAAAGTAATTCATGTATAAAAAGAAACAAATGCGACATAAATAATTTTACAGAAAGGCAGATTCACAACAATTTGAAAATAGTGTTTTCGGTATATTATGTTTCACAAAATGTCCCCGGACTGCAATTTCTTTAAATGAATGAAAACATACAAGGAGATTACTTGTAATTTAATTTTCACCGTGGACTTTATGTAGTGGCGCTTTTGATATCGTTACAGGCATGTCTCTTTATGTCTATGTAGTGCTTCATACGCTCAACGCGCGGTCATAGAAAACATATTTTAGTTGAAATTGATACTTTGCTGTTAAGGCAGCACTGCAGTACATTTCACATATAAACCACAAGGAACTATTAACAAACACTTTAAAGAACATAATAACTGAAAACCTATTTAATTTTTTATCATCAAAACATAATGTTAATTGTAAAATATTAACGCACTGCTTGTTCAGCTGATACTTACACCGTCGAGGTGAGCTACGTTAGGTAGACGCTGGTTCGTCAAGCATACATGATTGGAAGACGAACATCCTTTGTCAATTCCTGAATACATTCTACAAAAAATTCAAACCCTTGATATAATTACTCCATTTTGTGTTAGACCATGACGCATAAATATGAAATTTTAACCTGTAGCGAGGGTTGTTTCGTCCCAATAGTAGATACGGTTTGTAAATAATTCAGACATTGTCAGCTAACGTTTCTTAAAAACTGCCTCCATTTCATTCGTAATTCCCAAAATTCTTTAGTGGAACTAATTACCACTATTAGCTGGCACTGGGGGAATATTGCTCCATCACTGCTTGTTGTTTCGGCACCAGTAACACCGACATACGTATCCAACATGTTAATATCCTCCACCGTTGTGGTGTAATTGCCTTTAGAGTTCTCCGTGACGGGTCTGCCATTGAGCATCTCCCAAACAGGAGTTCCAGGCTAATCTGGGATTTCTTTACGATTTGCACAATATTTCCAAAAAATTTAATATTTAAAAAAATGACAGTACGAAATTCGTGAGGATTAAAGGGTTGTTTATAAAGCCAAAAATTACCCACGTCCACACATCTCCAGTCGTATTTATTCAGAAACTTTCAAACCCTTACATATAAAGACAGACTTGGTGCATATATTTCACATCGCACAGTTCAGAATCTATAGTGGGATCAAAATAACTGATAATCGGGGAAAGTCTAAAAATATTTACATGCAAAGAACTGTATTCTATGTGTTTTTTGAGTGACATTACTTGATATTGGATTAAATCGGTATTCGGAATTTTTCAAGAATTTAATTTCGAAAAAAAAAATTTTTTTCAGGATGTTGTGTTATAAAATGATTGAAGAAATGTTTTTGTTACGAAATGATTTCATATTCATAACATTATGCATTTATATATTGTCAGTTTGAAAATATTTCAAGTATTTTCTGGCACTCATAGTCTTTCGTTCCTGTATTATCAATACTTATTTGAAATTAATGTACAATCACATAGAATACAAATAATATATATCTGTCCATGTTTTGTCTGTTATAAATTCTGATATCGTACACACCATACCCCTCACCTTTCCTAAAGACACACGCACCACTCACGTATAACAAGTAACTGTGTATAACTGTACTTCAAGTATTCTTGACAAACGAGAAAACACGTAAATATTTTCTGTCTACTGGAGTCGTATTGTAGAAATAACTGTCAAACACACCTCGCTAAGGAAACGTATAAGACTGTAAAACGTCACAAATTAACCAGCTCGGGTTATTGTTTAGTGAAAGTACGTAAATCTTACACCAGAAAATCAAAATGGAAACTGTCACAGTATCGACTCGCACCATATTTGAAGCGATCACACCAGCTTTCATCTGGCCAATCTCTCTACCCTGACATAGGTGGCCCTTGGCCTGGGGGCTCTCACATAAAGATACGGCAACAGCGCGGCCTGAAGACGTGGACTTACACTGACAAATCTCACCCCCTGTCCCAGGGACACAGGTCTCCCTCTCACATCATGTCACCTTCCTAATTACCCCGCTCACCAAAACCCCGGGGATGCAGCCTAACATTTTATTGTTGTTTTATTTCAGATATTATTTCCCTTTGTGAGGTCTTTTCCGAGGTCGGAAGGCCCCCGGTAGTATATATAGTCTTTGTTCCGTGAGAAGTAAATCCCTCGTCGATTTGCACTTACTTTGTGTCGATTTGTCATAAACTGTAGATATTTGTGATTGGATAATTATGTGTTTTCGTATTTTGATATTGCATTTGGAAATAGTGTAGATAATAGCCTCGCCCGTCTAAAACCGGATACTCGAGGGTGTTGGTTTAAGAGGGTTCTCATCATCTGGGCTGTGCAATTTGTTTTACTCGATGCATTGTTTGAGTGGCTGACCGGTTTTGAATTCCAGATTCTGTGTCCTGGTCTGTCTCCGTCTACAGGCACTAAGCCAGTAAGGACAGGGGGTGGGATAAAGGGCTATATCTAGACTTGGGTTGGGAACAGTACATCATGGACGGCAGGAACAGATATCCTTTAAATCTACATCTCTAAAATGTTAAGAATTTACCTACGATTTAGCAAGAGGTTGTGCACATGGGTGGGGTATATCAGAGAGACATGGGATCATGTGATATATTAAGATTTGGAATAAAATATTTATAGAGACATGAAATAATCTGATTATCGAGAGACATAGGATGATGTGATATATTAAGAGAGATGTGGAATGCAATATCACGAGAGACATGTTATAGTCTGATATACCAAGAGTGACAAAATATAAGAATGAGGATTTATCAGGTGGAACCAAGAACATATGTATATGTGATAATGATGAGAATGTCTACAGCTGTTACTCCGTGTGGCGGTAATGTCACGTAATACGTACGAGGACTAATGATATGATGTGACACAGGGCATACGTATGAAATACGGATAGCCACGGTACAGAGCCCTTTGTTTCTCGATGGCGTCATCAGCCCCAGTCAGGGTACATCCCTCTAACGTTCCCTCGACCCCAGAAACACTACAATGTGGCGAGTGCATGATCTGATGCAGGTACACATGTTTAACCTACCCCACCCAGAGAGTATCATTCCGGGTGGATCCTCCGAGGATACCCTCCTCGGCTATAGTATGTCAATACCTGCATTAATCCCTCCCCACAGGCCGGACAAGACTGCCAGTGTAGGCGGTTAAGCGCCTGTCGCGTCGTCCATACGCCGCATTACAAATCTTAGGACTACGTTAACCTGCATATGTGCATATGTACACATGCATATGGCCGTGCATGCCAACATGGGGCCATTGTCGTATTTTTCTGACGACCTGTTCTGTAGGGTAAGTAAGACACAGTGTGCCACCAAGTTATATGTAAAGCAACGTTACCGGTGTGTGTGAGCGACTTTACCGATGTGTGTGAGCGACGTTACTGATGTGTGTGAGCGACGTTACCGATGTGTGTGAGCTGACGTTACGTTACTGATGTGTGTGAGCGACGTTACTGATGTGTGGGAGTGACGTTACCAGTGTGTGTGAGCGACGTTGTTTGAGTGACGTTACCGGTGTGTGTGAGCGACGTTACTGATGTGTGTGAGTGACGTTACTGATGTGTGTGTGCGACGTCACCGATATGTGTGAGTTACTGATGTGTGTGACGTTTACCAGTGTGTGTGGACGTTACTGATGTGTGTGAGCTGACGTTACCGATGTGTGTGAGCGACGTTACTGATGTGTGTGAGCGACGTTACTGATGTGTGACGACGTTACTGATGTGTGAGTGACGTTACGACGTTACTGATGTGTGTGTGGCGTTACGTTACCGACGTGATGTGTGTGTTACTGAGCGTGAGTGACGTTACGACGTTACTGATGTGTGTGGAGCGACGACTGATGTGTGTGAGCGACGACGTTACTGATGTGTGTGAGCGACGTGCGCGACGCTACTGATGTGTGTGAGCGACGTTACCGAGTGTGTGTGTGATGTGTGACGTTACTGATGTGTGTGAGCGACGTTACCAGTGTGTGTGTGTGTGTGTGTGACGTTACTGATGTGTGTGAGCGACGTTACTGATGTGTGTGTGTGTGTGACGTGCGACGTTTTACTGATGTGTGTGATGTGTGTGACGTTACTGATGTGTGTGATCGACGTTACTGATGTGTGTGTGAGCGACGTTACCGGTGTGTGTGTGTGCGAGCGACGTGACGTTACTGATGTTACTGATGTGAGAGCGACGACGTTACTGATGTGTGTGTTTACTGATGTGTGTGTGAGTTACTGATGTGTGACGTTACCGATGTGTGTGGTGACGATGCGTTACCGATGTGTGTGGAGTGACGTTACTGATGTGTGTGATCGACTTTACTGATGTGTGTGAGCGACGTTACCGGTGTTTGAGTGACGTTACTGATGTGTGTGAACGAAGTTAACGGTGTGTTTGAGCGACGTTACTGGTGTGTGAGCGAAGTTACCAGTGTGCGCTAGACACATCGCTGTAATACACTATGCCCGGTTGTGTGAGATGTTGAGACTGGGGACACATTGTGTGAATGGCTGAAACTCGGATGTATCATTGACAAATGTCCTTGTTATGTATAAGACACGTTGTCCAGCATATTTGAGGTACATTGTCCGTGACAACCGAGACCCGTTGCCCAACATATTTGCGAGCTGTGCTCCAGCACTTCAATACATGCTGTGAATTTCTGCGTGCGACAAGTTGCTGGATGTTGTATGCTTGAAGCAGTCTCTGTACGTTAACAGTAACTGACGCGCGCACCATCTACTCACAGCATGTTAAAGAACACACACATTATAATGGAGGTGTGTTGCAATACAACCAGCCATGACAGATTAACTACAATGATATGACAAAAATCTTAGGCTCTATACTTCTTTTCAGTAGTATATTGACGTGAGTATAGCGTTCTGCCTATTGCACAGATGAGTATAACATCGTCTCTGCTATGGTAGAAGCGTTACTGGGGCAGCTAGACGCACAGTCGACTCCTCACTGTCCTCACGCTCTTCACCACGCGAACTATACACTGTCACACCAACCTCTCGTAACCATGTTTTCTCCTAACGTTTACCCATTTGTTTTCCAAACCCAGTGGTCGAAATTAATATAATGTTTGTTAAATAGGGATATCATAAACAGGAATTGGTCAAATCCAGTTACAATAAAATAAATGAAGATGTTTTAGGGCAATTCAAAGGTAGACATCTCTTCTTATTGACCTTCTCTGGATCATGCTTCATCACTGGAATGGTTTAACAGTCTCTGCAAAAACTAATTAACTTACTTATATACCTTATAGCCATAAACCTGCGGATCTGTAAAACGCCTGATGAATAAGAAAAGGCAAATTAACAATTCTTCTTGATATTTAGAGTTTGATTTCGAGATGCCCAAGGTGCGACTGTACTCAGTGAGTCAGCGGGGGGCGTAAATCGTGCCCGGAAAGGGAGACAACTTTGTTATTTCACTACCCGCCTATTATGTTCATCTGCGGTTCCTGCTTAGCCAGGACAGAGAATGGGACAGGTTGGTAACCGCCGGGTTGGTTTTGTCCTGAGATAGCACTCGGCTCGGGTTTCCAGTCGTTTAGTACTTTAATGACACATGGCGATCAGGGCGCGCATCAGCGCAGTAATCACAACTGACAACGTTATTTCAGTTAACAACTCAATTGAAATTACCACACAGCTCAGAAATAAGAAACGAGTTGTTAAATGGCAGTTTAATTGAATTACAACCATGCCCGATTGTGTTAGTTCTTGAGACTGCGACTTACAGATGGGTGTAAACAAGGATAATTAGGGACTATGGACATACACCAATCTTCAGCGGATTGAAAGCGCAGGAAATTCCCCTGTGATGAAGATGCTAAAATATGTGAGGCAACGTTGACTTATGTGCTTTCACGGAGCACGATGACAGATTGAAGGACCACTCTTACTTAAAAACACATCTAGTGTCAATGGTTATTGAGACCCAGGCCGGCTGACTGATTACACCCGTCAAGGTGTTTGTTTGTTAGCGTGTTTGTTTGTTTGCACTCAGCAATATTCCAGCTGTAGAACGACACCTGTAAATAATCCTGTCTGAACCAGACAATCCTGTGATGTACAACGACAAAGGGGATACGCTTAGACACATACATCATCTTTTGACGCATCTCACCACCTTAAAGCCACTTCTTGCAACCAGTGATTTGTCGCTGGAGACGAGTTTAAGGATATCTAGTATTTATATCGGGAAAAGACTGGCGTTCAGTAAATTTGTTAAATCCGTTCGTCGTTAGTCTTCACCATGAAGGGTGGGGGCTGACTTACAGTCGGAGGTTAACCGTTGGTTTCCATTCAGGTTCTTTCACCTGACGTTTTTGTTACAGGGATGGAGGCCTATCCAAACTTGGTGGTACTATTCGTTGCCATGGCCACATGGTGTTGTATGACGTCATCGGATGACATCAGACTTCCGGTCCCATGCACAGGTAAGCTACCATTGTTATTGTGACACAGTACAGTTTTGGAATTATGATCCAAAAGCGTGTTCGGGTGAGATGTGCTGATTCCATTAGAAGCCCGCTCCATTCTCAAACGCCACATCCAGAATTGGACTGTTGATAGCATATTCAGCTCATACTGTGTATATATACCCCTCTACATCTGGCTGTATTCACTTTTAGCTTGATAACGATGTAAGAATCTACATCGAAACGTCGCTCTATGCAATAAATAAGAAGTTGTCATCCATAAAGTTGTATGTTTCATTTTTGAGTCACCAACTTCTAGAATGCCCATCAAACAATTAAAATGTATAAATAGGTTTTCAAATTCAAGACAACGGACAATTTGTTAAGCTGTCAAGTTGTGCAATTATTGAGGTTAAATTCGAGATTTCTGTGTTTCTAAAAGGGCTACAACCTCGCAGTGACAGCCCCGGGATTAAACAGAATCTTATAGGCCTTTTGGCGTTCCAAGTGTGAAAACACTGGTACGTCCAAGCCTGTTGTTAGCCGAGGCATGCAAGGCTGTACTAAACGAAGAATGTTTTTGTCATCTAGGATTATGGGAGAGCGGAAGATGAAATCCCTAATAATACCTTCGGAATAAACACGCCAGTTAATACCACGTTTACTCTCCGATACGTAATAAGTATATGCAGAACCCTTTGTGTAACGGGGAAATATGAAAACAATTTTAAAACCACGTGCACCTTTTGACTCCTGTTTACAAAGTGCTTGAATTGTTCATGTAAACACGCCAATGAAAGTGTCATCAACGACATCTGGTTTTGTTGAAATTGAGGATATGTGATAATCAGATGCTCTGTTCCTGACAACTGTGTGTACCTTGATTGTAGTCAGTTGTAATGTCAGTGCTTCATATTGGATGGATGTGTTTTAAACGTCGGTCTGTCCTATTGACCTTTCACGTTGTAACTGGTATGAAAAGACCTGGCGATCCGCTTGATAGTTTGCAGAAATGTCTAAGATATTTAGACATGCCCTACCAAGTCACAAATACGGCAATTCCAGAAAGAAAGCTATTAGTAATTAAGGTTTGTAACAATGAACAGTGGAGTCTATTTACTCAGGTTAAACAAAATTTGTCAGCTATCGTTTCGTTTCGAGACCCTGGCGCACTTTTTGATCCGCACGTTGACACTTTCTGTCAGCAATGTTGCTGCTGTTGACACTACTAATTATCTCCTTCACAGGTAGAGGTCTGTCATAATACACTGTTGATAGATTATAAACCTAATATCTAGGTGTCAATGGGGCTTGTAGTGCTAGAGGCATGCTTCGTCAATTGAATAGTTAAATGAACCCGACTCCGCACCAAATTTAGTTGACAATTTAGATCAACCGGACTCTTTGTCAATATTGACTGTGGACCGCTATTCACGTCTACGTCGTTCAGAGCTATAACCTGTCTACTGGCGACTGGTTCATAATCTTACCAACCGCCTTTTATGATCAGCTACAAATGTGAGTGTGATAGAGAGGGGCCATATTATCATACATTATTAATATATCATCTCAGTGTTTATTGAGGGCTTTGGACCGGGCTTTGTTTCTTTTCGTGCATTAGATATCTGAAATCACTGGAACACAGCTTGATGGAACCGATACTGCTACGACCGTGAAAAAAGGGCTTAAAAGGGACCTACGCTCTGAGAATTTGGCAGTCGCAGCAGATTGGATTCAAGTCGCCATAACGCTGATGTGCTTATCTGTTGACCCATTTTTAGATTTTACGACGATGATTTTGGAATAGGTTCCGGTTAATGATTAAAATTAGTTTGTGAAAATGCAAAATTGTTTTTAGTTTCTGTGCAAAAATGGGAAGTCACACTCGCAACATCTACAGATACAGCACAGCCGACATATCTAAAAACGAGAAATGATATTAAAGAACGCATACTGAAGGTAACAATTTAGGGAACATTTAGTGTATATACATGTCGGTACATTATAAACCGTTCTTGGCCACTGCGAGTGTTGGCACTACCTTTACGTAATTGAAGCGTTTGGTGCAATAGTGGACTAACCATCACTACCATTTTCGAGAAAATCGACATGTTGCATTTGTCTTTGAATCAAAATCTTTTACAACGAATTTTATAATGTTTTATTGTTCTTTGACGGTTAAAACACATGGCAGCAGCTTAACAGACCTCGGCTCGAAACAAGTTGATTATATGGATTTTATATAAACGTTGAAGTCGAAATATTTAGTTAATATTTATTAATATTAATAATAATATTATTATTATGAAATAGCAGTTTATTGCGATTTTGCAGAACTTCTGCAGTTCTCAGTCAATTCAGTGTGAAACACGCTGCTGATGTCTGGACGGAATGCGTGCTGTGGGGTTTCACACTAGTCTCCTTCATAGGCTGGGCTTGTCATAGACCTTCATAAGCGTACGTGCAGCACACTTTGACGGAACCAAGCTACAAATGGTGACATATTCGCTGACAGCGTCTCTCCTCTTAAAGAGGAGCTATTTATATGATTGGCCGTTACCTACCGATCGCTGCACATTAGGTCACGTCTGAGAATAGTATTGTGTAAAGAATCAGGTGATATAAATAAGCATCAGAACAGACATCCACTGTGTGAGTTGATTGAGTGGTGAATGTTCTCAGATGGACGGATAGACATTGTAGAAAGTGGAAATCCGTGAGTGGGTGAGTGAGTTAAGTTTTACGCCGCACTAAACATTATCCCAGCTATATGGCGGCGGTCTGTAAAAAATCGAGTCTGGACCAGACAATCCAGTGATCAACAGCTTGAGCATCGATCTGCGCAGCTGGGAACCGATGACATGTATCAACCAAGCCAGCGAGCCTGACCACCCGATCCCGTTAGTCGCCTCTTACGACAAGCATGGGTTACTGAAGGTTCATTCTAACCCGGACCTTCACAGGTAGACAAGCATGGGTTACTGAAGGTTCATTCTAACCCGGACCTTCATGGGTCTGGAAATCCGTGAACGTGTTCTCTGATAAAGGATCGAAACCGTCACTCATTTCAGTTGTACTCAGCTTTCTACCAGCGGATACCGCTGTTTCTGTGTCTACGTCTGTGGATTGGTTAGGACATAATTTGTATTACAAATGCGTTATTCCCAAGAAAAATGTCAATACATAATTGTCTGCCAGGACGTTGTGAAAATAACTTGCAACTCAGGATTTCTGAATGATCAGAGGCCGATTTACCTACAGCTTGCAGCAAATGTCTGTAAAAATCCCCAAACTGCTATTACAAATTCCCCAGTTCAGTTTATCTAACAACTAATTATATGGCAGATATTAATATGATTTAGATGATTAAATATACAGATATTTTGTGCGGCCGAGGGGATCACAGCACATACCGGCATGACAGGGACGCAATACAGTTCTCACAGTTCAACTACTCGTGTGTGACCTACAGAGAATAAGAATGTTTGAGTATAAGGCGTTTATACAATGACGTTTTAACGAGGTGCATCTCATCCTTGTCTGAAAATGACAGTGTGCACTGACAAGCCACTCCATGCTGAAGGCGAGATTTTCCGTCGTCGTGTAAGTTAACCGGCCAAGACGATTGAGTCGAGAGCCCTCCACTTGTAGTTACAATCAAATACACCCTTTGTTGTCAGCTAAATCATAGATGGTCTCAAGTTATTGGTTTTAACAATACTCTGTTGTTTTGTGAAGTGTCTGAATGTCCCATAAGCAAACACTCAACAACGAGTTAAATACAGAATGATATTCAGCATTATATTCATTTAAGACGGTTAATGTCCATGTCTATGGTTATATCTTCAAAATGAGGAAATACAAACGGTGTCTAGCTTTGAAGATGGGCGTATACTCTTGTCAAGGGAATAGTTATCGTGATTTAGGTGAGTTTCTGTTTGTATACATGGACATGCAAGGACAGCTGCTGTCTGTTCTGCTAAAGTAGGGGCTTTCAATATTATATATTTATCATTCTTTTCTTAAATTTCGAGATTACACACTTGACTGCATAGTTGTCGGCGAATTTGATCATAGATAATGTTCGACACTTCAAAGGCATTTCTTCAATAGGTTGCTATAATCTATTCAGAACGAAAAATGTCAGCTTTGGCAAGAATGTTGGGAAATGTCGACTCGTATTTTTCACGTTTAAAAAGGCGCCTTGGGTAAGATGCTTGTAAATAAACGTTCAACTATAACCCAACAAAACTATTTAACTTTGCGATACATTGTAACCACGGGAAGGTACATACCAGTGACAGTACCCCTGACACCTCTCCCCTTGTCTGTCTACCCGTAAAACAATGTCCATATGAAAACATCAATATAATTACATTTGTACGGCAAAACAATAATGTATTGACTGAATACAATTGTGGCTGGATTTCACTTGATATCGATAACAATTCTTGGTGGGCCATCACGTGCCACCCCAATAAGACAGAAGACTGTCTGGGGGTACAGACACCCCACACTACCTCCAGCCACATCTACCCACAACTAATCTCTGATTAATACAGATGAAGTATTTGCTTCTCAGGTTACACATTTTCCACCGACAACAAACAGCTAGCTTTGTTTAGGTAGTGTGTCTCGGGTTCAAGCCCGGGCGCCGCAACACCCAACAACTGGTTCCCCGTCCAGTGAGCGTGACACGACACAAAAGTCCCTAGAGGGTTGTCCCCAGTTAGAGTTATCTCACCTTCAGTGTGGAGAAGTATTTGTGTATTTAATCATATTGGTATGACATTCTACAAGAATGTGTGAGGAGTTAGGGTTGCCTACCCTTACAAGTACGTCCCCCAGAAACTGCCGTCACAGTCTCTGATGTATATACCTCTGATTTTCCATTTTGCTCCCCCCATTATTTGTTAATAGAAACAGGTAGATATATTGGAATAAAAAAAAGACGATAGAATATGTAAAATGTGTGACTTGAATCTAATTGAAGATGAATATCATTTTCTTTGTGTGTG